TGTTTAAGATTATGTGAGTACTAACAATAGATTATTAACCTATATTAATCATAATTAATGTTTCTAATTAAATCACTGACAACTATGAACTAGGGGTTTCCATTCAGTAATTTTGCTCTTAGTAGATATTTGGCAGTGTTGATAATTGGTAATTGTTCAACATAGTGTGAATCTTGTTAGACAGAAGGAGATGCCAGGGATGTTAAAAAGAATGTAAATTTCACAGCTGAGACCTCTACACAGAAAAGCTCCCCTGCACAGCGGCAAGAGCCTCAGCATTAGGAAGTCTGCTGTAAATGGTTTATCAATTGTGGAATGGTTTAGATAATGTGAATCACAGTGACCAGCTATGCATCACAGTGACCAGTCGTTTCTAATAGACAGAAGCAACAGGATCTGGAACAGGAACTGTTACCTGGGTAACTAAGAAACTGAAGTATATTTCAGGATATTTTCTGCTACAGAAGGATTTCTTTTTTTCCCACAACATGGCCAGCATTTGTTGCTTTTTAAATTTCTAATGACCATTCTTTCTGGAACAAGGTAAAATCTCAGGATTATTTTAATTTGCACTTGTCTTCCCCCAACATGCTGGATATTTCTAATGTATTTATTGTCCATTTGTACCTCTTCTTCAGAGAAGGAACTATTCATTCCAACTGGCAATTTTTTACTGAATCTTAAATTTGGCATGTCTAATTTTGTTGAGTTCTTCATATATGCTAGATATTAGTCCTTGAAGGTACAGCAGAGCATCTGCTCTTCAGAAAACTCATCAAACACTTCTGTAACCAACTTTAAGTTTTCTAAGGTCAGTATATTAATATTCAGTGTTTTATAAGTGCATCTCTTCAGCGCTTCATTTATTACATCTCTGGCTAATCCTGTCAAGTGGCCCCTCTGGTACTAGACCCACAGGCTGTGAATTCTCCAATCACCATTTCCTAGGTAGCTACAACCCACTGTATACATAAAAAAATATTATTCCTCAATTCAGAAGGTGACAGCACCATTTTCACACACGGCTGATCTTAAAATTTGCTAATTGGGAGACCATATGAAGTAGATAATCACTTTTATTCAAAATAAAAGTCACGTTTCCTCTCTTCTTTCCAAGAGAAAATTTTGTAGTTTAAGAGAAAGGAATCCCACATAATTCTTCCATTAAAACTGGAAGACTCAGAGGCCATTATCTTAGAAGAATAGGTTTTCAAGTGATACTTTCCATGCACTGAAGAAATGTACTCAGGATTCCATGCAGGATAAGAGTGAATACATTAAAACAGGTCACCAACATGTCACTTAAGAAATCTGATACATGTAAGAACATTAGTGATGAACAATAGGCATAATTATTGAAAGGTTATTGCACAAGCTAATCTTTAATTTTCTGTTACCAAATATATATGAGGCTATACTATAAAATAAGTTAAAACTCCTAGTGTAAACTGTGAAAGGTCTGCTGAGAGATGAAGGCAGAGTGCAGGTGGGTGACATATTTGGAAAATATATTTCCATAACACAAATAAGAAAGATGGGAAAGCAACAAGGAAATCAACACCACAGAGACTCTGAATGTGTCTCCTCGAATTCCTAAAAGAGGATGCTGCTTAGGAGCCGATCTCCAGGGGCGTCTTCCCCAAGGATGCGACAGAAAATGCTTGGCTCTGAGTCACCTGTGCATTGACTTGGGGGTCTCGAAGGTTTATAGAGCCCTCAGATCTCACAGCTAAGGCTGTGTTGACTCTGACACTAAGAACCTGAAGCAGATTCCTCAGTAGAGGTGGGTATAGGATATTTCACTTTTCCCGTAAGCACTTTTAAAAATTTCAACCCATGTCTCTAAAGGACGCATGCCAGTTTGATTTTGGAAGGTACTATGAAATATGGATAATCAAACAAATAATACATATTCTAAAGTGTTTTTTTAAATTGTAATTCCATTTAGGAATACGAGTATTTATATTTGAGAAATATAACCATCATGTCTCATGTGTTAAATACTCATACAAGTTCCTAAATTTTTTCCTCAGTGAGTCTCTTTGTGTCATGATTTCATCTTTGCTCTATTATATAAATGAAAATTTCACATTTACTATGGCACAAATGAAAGGAAAGTGGATACACAAGTACCTAACTAAAAATTAGGTCCCCTCAAGATAAAACTTAACATTAAATATCCTGTTAGAACAATCATCAGTTATTTCCAAACATCTACATGTGGGTAGGTCATAGAATCAATGCAGTAATAATACATTTTGATAAACAGTGTATCTTATAGTAAAGTTTGTCTGCCAAAATTTGAATGAGAGGATATTAAAGTAATTTCTTGGGGAGATCATAAGGCGATGGACTTCCACTTGAGGTACAGCATTTGTCTAGGCAGGCGGAAGATTTCAACTGCAGAAGCCTAGACTGCAGGTTTGATGAGATGAAACCTCTAAGATATTTTCAAAGAAAGAATAAACCTAAAATGAAAATAAATATTTTCTGGTTCACCATAGTTTGACTAACCAAAATAGATGGTTTTAATAAGTTTGTTTTCTTTTTATTTTCATTTAAGGTAGAATCCCTAAATTAGGAGCACTGGCCTTCAGTGAAAAATCATGGAAATTCAGTGAGGAACAACAAAAAAATGGAGGTCAAAAACAGAAAATTCTGGAAGTAGATTTTAAAATTTCTAATTATTAATATGAGGTTACAGAAGCACAGGCGTGCTTTAGATTGTAACATTTAGTTGCCTAAATGCTTAATAAATTCTTCAGAACTGCCCAAAGTGTGATCTGTTGAAAATATCAATTTGACTTCTCTGTCTTAAACCATACACCACAGTGATGGTGAACCTCTTAGAGACCGAGTGGTGCCAAAGTATAACCCAGAACCCAACTTTTTATCACAAAGTGCCAACACTGTAGTTAAGCCTGAATATTGAAGTTTTAGCTTAAAACAGACAATTCATACATTAATATCATTTGCCCTGAAAGAAAAACACAATAACATGTGTGCCGAATGTTCATCAGCACTACTTTGGCAGGTAACATAGGTCATGAACAGAAACGTCATTGCCAAAAGTCTCATAAAGTCTGTCTTGAGTGAACCCTACTTATTTCATAAGAATGTCACATAATTCTTCATATTACTTATATAGAAGGGAACATCTTTTTTTCCTCCAACCTATCAGATCTAGCAGATTCTCTTAATATATATTTTCTCAATTTTGGTCTATCCAGCACTATCTTATCTCAAAAATCTTATAAGAACTGAATAAATGATTTCATATTTTTAAAAATTTAACATATGCCCTGCTGTACATTTTTCCACCCCCTATAAGTCATCATCTTCAAAATTGCAAGAATAGTGGTTTACACCTCAAAGGTGATTATGAGACTCATCTATCTTAATATTGTTCCATAGGTGAAAATTCACTTTAAGTAAATCATGATTGTAAGGATGTTATGTGTATCTTCCACTTTTCTAGTTGCTTATTGTTATTCTGTGACACTATTAAATACCCACTTTCCATATGTAATAAACCTAAGTTTTAAAAGCTAAATTATCTATCTCAGAGTTGTAGTTCCCCTAAAATTCCCCTTGCCTGGAATCCTGCATTTTCCTTGCTATGATTCATTGAATAGTAGTTTCTTTAGGGTTCACATCAAATACCACCATCTAAGAAAGGATTTCTCAAAGATCTCATTGATTGACAATCTCAGTGATTGTCCCAGACTAACTTCATGTATCCCCATGTTTAATTTCCTCATGACACATAATACAACCCAGTATTATCACAATTGAATGTATTGTAACAGGCTTTTGTCTGCTCTCTCCAAATGGAATAGCAGTTTTATGAGATGAGGCATAGTACATTCATTTCAAGTTTGAACATCATCAGGGACAGAATAGAAATTCAGTAAATATCTGATTAATAAATAAATTATTGAAAGAAAATCCAAAGGAAAAGCACAACGTTTGTTGTCAGAAGTAAATACATTACATATTCAAAAATGTTAGTGGTTACTTTGGAATTATTTCTCTAATTCATTCTACATTGACATTTCATTCTCTTTTTCAGACATATAAGATCGGATTTGTACATTTTGATCGGCGCTGTTATGTTGTATTCAGAGAGAGAGAGAGAGAGACAGAGAGTAAATACATCAACAAGTATATCTTTTTACTACCCAAACAATGAAACAATCTGGATTCTCCGGAAGTTCAATGATTTGGAGGAGATGTGATCTTCTGAGTTACAACGGAGAGTGCTATCACTTGCCAGGACAGAGCTTCTCATTGCCTTACCAGAGGGAATGAAATCATCCTAAAATAAACAACTTTAGAAGAGTGCCTAGCTACATTCAAAAATGTGATTATGTGGTAAATATATATAGGATATAAATATATCTGATATAACTTATGTTAGAAACTATACAAAGTAAACATATCTCTGAATAAAATTCCATGTATTTTTCTCCCATTTAATTAAAAATAACTAAGAACAAAACAATTAATAAGCATGGGTGTTAAAATATGAAAATAAAATATTCGTTCAAAGCAAATGGTGAGGTAAAATGAATGGTGCCTGGAATCATTATGTCTTGAGAAAAAGCATGATTTGGGACTGAAAAAATTTCAAAGAATGTGGCTTATGTGGAACTGTGCAATTTCTCAAACTATCTCATATTCATTGAGACATAGCAATAATGAATTCAAATGAATGCAAGCTAACCCTTCTAAAAATGACTGTTAAAAAGTGAACCTTCACATGCTACATACTCCTGAGTAATTTACTTTACATTTTTTTACTTAATTCTTTTTTCTCCCTATCGTTGCAATTTTACATTTAATCCCTAAAAGCCTGAGGTTACATCTGGGTTAGATGAATGCATGATTCAAGGAAATCTCACCCAAGACTCACCTTGCCTTCTAATAGCAATACCAAAGGGATACCTTAACCTTATAGCTATTTCTCTTCTCTAAACAGAGGAAATTCTAAAAAGCACATGGCTCCAGGAAATATGACACAAGTCACTGAGTTCATTCTCATAGGGGTCTCAGAGCGTCCCGAGTTGCAGGTTCCCCTCTTCCTCATCTTCCTGGTCATCTATGGGCTGACCGCGGCAGGGAACCTGGGCATCATCACCCTCACCAGTGTGGACCCCCGACTGCAAACCCCCATGTACTTCTTCCTCCAACACCTGGCTGTCATCAACTTCGGCAACTCCACTGTCATCGCCCCTAAGATGCTGAGCAACTTCTTAGCAAGTGAGAAAACCATCTCATACTATGCATGTGTCACCCAGCTGGGAGGATTCCTGGTTTTCATTGTGGCTGAGACCTTCATGCTGGCCGTGATGGCCTATGACCGTTACGTGGCCATCTGCAACCCCCTGCTCTATGTGGTGGTGGTTTCCAGATGGGTCTGCCTGCTGCTGGTGTCCGTCACCTACCTCTATGGCCTTTTCACTTCTCTTGTGTTTACACTTTGTGTATTCTTCCAGTCTTTTTGCTCTTCCAATATCATCAATCATTTTTACTGTGACATTACACCTCTCATAGCATTGTCCTGCTCTGATACTTCTGTTACAGAAATGCTTGTCTTTCTGTCTGCAGGGACAAATTTGATTTCTTCCATGACAATAGTTGTGATTTCCTATGTCAACATTGTTCTGTCTATTCTAAGGATACGATCATCAGAAGGCAGGAAGAAAGCCTTTTCCACCTGTGGGTCACATATGACAGCTGTCACAGTTTTCTATGGGACGATGCTGTTCATGTATTTACAGCCCGGGACCAACCACTCCCTGGACACTGATAAACTGGCTTCTGTGTTTTACACGCTGGTGATCCCTATGCTGAACCCCGTGATCTACAGCCTGCGGAACAAGGACGTGAAGGCTGCCTTACAGAGCTTTGTGACAAACCCATGCGGTTCCTGTAAGTAAATGCAACCTTAGATCTGCATCAATAAAAAGAGAGAGAGGATTCCCATTGGCTGCTGTGGCATAACAAAATGAGAGCCAGATGAAGATCTTTAAAGCATAATGTCAGGATTATGATTTGAAGAAAAATAAATGTTGTAAAAAGCTGAGTATGTATACACAGGACAGTTAGGATAATTGTACTGCTAATATCTGTTGGTTTATTGAAAGGAACTGTTAATGTGTAATTGTTTGATCAGTCTTGCATGCCTGTATCTGGTTATATGTGCAACCATTTTGAAGATGACATTGTGTAACATAACAACCATGCACCAAACTCAAGTCAAAATGGTTTGACAGATCTCAATATTAAAACAGAAACACTAAATCTATTGGAAGAGAAAGTAGGTAAAAACCTTGAAGACATAGGGGTAGGCAGAGAGTTCATGAACAAAAATCAAATTGCACA